ACGTCGTATTCGCTTGCGAATCATTCTAGCACGCTCCGGAGATCAGTTTTTGAAAATACCAACCAAACAAGGTAGTCCGTAAAAAGCACACTTCCTGTCTCTATATTTCTGGTACAATAGACCTGGTGATGCTTAACTAAACCTGTCTATGTACAACGCATACAGGAAAACAAGTCTCAATTTAATGCCTTTAAGTCTGATGCAGCACCTACAATCAGCGTGTATTGACTGACTCCTAAAAAAGTGAATGGCTCGTAATAAATGGCCATCTATCTCATACTACTGCAGGAGGGTACATTGCTTATAAGCGGAAACAGTCCATAGGCTTTCTCGAATTCATCAGTATACGCATAAGCCGGGATGAGCGAACTCTGATCCCATGCCCTCAACAATCTTCTAAGAGGTGCATCGGTCTGAACGAAAATAACAGTTTTTCTTGCATTTTCAAGTAAGTCACGCCTCGGCATCTACTTTCTAACACATATGTAAACTTTCCGGGGGGGTACGTACGGTACGCCCCCATAAGAGTGCACTCCCTAAGCCTTCACTTCTTGAACAGGGATACTAGAGTTCCTTTTTTAACAGTCTCCTAGTGTCGTTCCAGTAGGCAATGCAGTATGAATAACGTGTTAGTCACAACATGTGCTGTTCGTCTAAAACTTTAAGCATCTCAAGGAGGGTTTTATTGATTTCAACAGCCTTGTTATCTTTCAAGGAATATGTACGTTGTGAGACTTCACCTGCTGATCCATTAAACGATTCACATTCGTTCGCTGAAGATCTTCAGACGAGTCTCGCTGAGCTTGCTTAGAGTTAAGAAGTTCTTCAAAGAACTCTCTCCATCGCTGAAGTATGTTTTCTTTTTTGATAGGGCGTCTGAACTTTTGCTTCAGGACTCTAAAAATGCCCTGCTTTACATATCGGAGGCGGCGGATGGTCTGTCAGAATACTCTGTTTACCGTCTGGAATTTCTGTCCAAACACCTCAACGAATTTTTCCTAGGATTCAGTTTACGCTTAAATCACATCTTTAGAAGTCACCTCATTCGCTTCTCTGTATCGCATTCGAGTTTAAAGCTCTTTGCTTCGAAGCCACCTCTTGAATGCAGCCTTTCTCTCTCTTAGAACGAGTTGAACCCATGATGTCGACCAAGAAGTGCGCTACTGACTCTAAAGTTGCAGCTCCGCGCGTTTAAATCGCAGCATTCAGCAGCAGCCCAGAGTAACCCACCACGGAAAAAGTTTGTCGGTTTCCAAGTCAGTCGACATGATTGTCATGCGATGCGTTCTAAATTCGTGCTGAAATCTGCAGATGATAGTACTTACAACTGTACACTGCCCGCCGTCTAGTTGCAAATAACCGCATAATAAATAAAGCATTCCTGGTTAATGGCATCGCAACATAGATCAAAGCCGCATAACAAAACCACGATACAGGATAGCACAAATTGCGCGCAATAAGACAATGCATGGAAAGTCTATATTATGACGACTACAAACCTTCCCTTCAGCTTTTCAACGTGCCAATAAGCAAAGTTGCATAAAGTTGGGCAAACCAGATGGGTGAAATGTAATGTACTGATATAAGCGCCTCACATTCTCTAGAACATCTCTTGAGTTAGAGCCATCCCGATATATGGTGGTCGAGTGCCAAATGATAAACTTAGAGACTATGCTCTGGATCTTGCTAGAAAGCCAAAATGAACCGAATCAGTGAGTGTGAAGGCAAACACTGGTCCCCACAACGTCTGCGGACTTCATTATGCAATGAATTAGAATGGATTTCAAGAGAACATGCATAAACAGTTGTAAATACTAAAGGAGACCGCAAGGTGTATATACAACATCATTTAGACGATAATGCGTAATATGTGGCTAGTCAGCAAATCAGTAGAGGAATAAACTCGTGGCTTTTTGTTAACGGTACCAAAGGCGATACCGGCATGAAAAGGCACCTCTGTACGACTAGCAAAGTGGTCACGTAAGAAATTTTTAGAGGCGGATGACGCCGGCAGTGTAATTAATCACTACGCAAACCCGAAAACAAATCCATTCAAGAAGATGGTAGCTTATATGAACGACAAATTGCTCAATGCATATTACTGCCACTTACGGAAGAAGAGAAGGTTCGCCATGTAATGTTTATGCTAGTCCATAGAAACCAAATGGTGATTTTCTGACCGAAAACCTAAAATCTGTTCCCATCAAGGAAGTTTTAGATGAGAGCAACGTTCACGGAACTTCGACTACTCGATAAATATATGTGGTCAAGCCTACAACACTAATTCCAATAGTAGTCAACATTAGTTCTACGTAGATTAGTTTAAATCCGACTTACTACAAGTCTCGCCTCAGGTCATTTACAAAATTTCTTACAGATTCCAGTACACAGAGTAAGTACACTACTTCACAAAATGTTTCACAGTCGTTTCATTCCGAAACGTTTCATGACTGGTACTCTTGAAACTGTCCGTGCTGATGATGATACGCGTCAGTTAAACAAATATGATACTTTTTGATTCATGAGTGGAGGCTACCGACGACAATAGTACGACTATCTTAACAAAGTTCCGACTGCCATAACTCGTAGTTCCCTGATCCATGGCTAAGGGCAACAGTTTATTGATCCAACGTCCCTTGCGATTTCAGGGACAAAATGTGCTGATCAGCAAAGAAATAAATCTGCTTTGATCGTTGCATTCAACTAGTGGGACACAAACTTTGAATCAAGAAACAGTACATGTAATGATAAGTGCTTAACCAATTACCTTCTACTTTGCAGCCCAGGTCATCTACACCGGCTTCTTCATTCGATTTGTCGGCGTGTGATGACGGACAATTCTCGGGCTCCTTGGTTGCAAGTGTTTCCGTGGGGAAATTTTCTAAATTAAAATAACGATTCAATATGGAAATCAAGTTAAACCAATATGTCTACAATACATTAACGGAATTCATTCGTGCCAGAGATGACATTACATTGTACAACATATATCTCTTCATAGAGTTTAAAAACGATAATAAAAATAATATAACACTGTTAAGATAAATCGCAGTAGAGTCAGTCCGGTTAGCAATAAATAAGTCTTTTACTATACCGTGCAATCATGAAGATATCAGAAACCAAAGTTTAGTATACATGATCTTGTCTAAACTCCTCCAAGAACAAATCTCAGCATATGTAGCGCTTTGGATTTCTGGACGGATTCAACAAACTAGTACAGGGAAGAATAGACAGCGTCATTCATAAAACTGTCGCGTTCAATGAAAACACAAAATAATAACACATAATTAGCACCACCGAAATAGGGAAACGAAACAGAAGAGGATTACCGTAGCAGCCTAAGTTATATCCTGAAATCTTAAAGAACCCCGTTAGCCACTGGGCAACAAACGCTAAACAACGTAAAAAAAATATAAATGAACTTTTGACAAAGACTACACGAGATCAGGCCTGGATTTGTTTCTTACATCTTAAAATTGATGAAATGCAAGCTGTTTCAAAACAGGAAATCGATATTATTATGGTTGATAATGGAAACAAAAGTAGGAAAGTCCGTAATCGTTCGATTGTCGGTCGTCCTTACGCTTTCACAATGGATTAATTTCTGGCGCCCTTCTTTTCATGCAGATAACTGCGGGGCCCTGATCGCCATTTCCAAGTAATCAGCCAGGAGTGCCTTAAGGCACAATTGAGAGCAGCTTCGTGGCAATCACGATGTGTGGTCTTCAGTTTCTTTTCCACAGAGTGGTGCGCAATTATCAACTTCGGAAAAAAGAAAAACCAGTGACCCCAAATGGGGCTGAATTTGACACCTCTAGCTTCTGAGTCAGACGCTCTACCGACTGAGCAATGTGATAGAGACCCTATTATAATAGCGGTTAGATAACATTTTCGCACCTTATGAAGAGAAAAGGTCATTAAAAATTTACGTATGAACTGCGAAAGTAACAAAAATGCAACACGTCGGAGTTTATTAGCCAACGTGCCGTCTTTGGCAAATAAAAAATTACCGCGGTCACAGCTGCAACTGTGGGGGCGTGAAATTTACCCTACTGGCAAGCATTCTTAAAACGCGTTTATTTAATTTAATATAAAAGTTGGAAACAAAATAATAGGCAAAAGATATGCCAGAAAGAACGAAAAATATGCCATTCGAAACATAATGAAAGTAGTTACACTTAACACTGATTTACCATGATATGGTTTAAATAAATAGCTGCTGTAATAAACTTGAAGACTTGCTTCTTCACCTCGCCGGACTTAAGACCAACCACTAAAGATGATATGTCTATGCGATTAAGTACTGCTGTTGCTATCACAATCGGCTTCCAAAGCCAACAAAACTTGAGCGACAAAATCTGCAAAAGGTCGCATCAAGTGGCATCGTCATCCACATCAGGCACTGCTAAATCTGCGGCAAAGGTCACATTCTTCATCGCAGAAAACCTGTCTTCAAAACTGTTGCATACTTCGTAGCGCCTTCCTTCCATGGCGTCTGCAGTCAAAATATGATTCAAATTTCAAAATGTCAGAAAATTTTTAAATTTCCATTCCGTTCTTACGCCATTTTATCAGACTAATCCCACAAACTCTCCCATGCTTTTTAAGAGATTTCCTATAACGGTGGTCGTCGATGAATCTGCTTTTCGGTCATCACGTTGTACCATCGCACTTTAAAGATACTTTGCAGACAGAGTTGTAGAAAGCTGTCGAGAATTTGATGACGTTTCAGGATAGAATACTATTTCAGACTATTAAATGAATGCCATGAATACGGCTGCCTCACGTGATCATCATCCACGTCTTGTTTCTTATCGTTTGTCATAAGGCTCTACAAAATTTACACTATTTCAGTCCATTGCGCTGATGTACGGCAATGTTAGCGTGAAATCATCATCACTGGCGAAGATTTCCAAAATATAAAGCTGCAACAACACCACTGTATTGCATCTCCTCAGTAAGAAGACATTCATAACGTGCTCCCTTTACAGTGACTTGACGCCCTAACCCCACCTAGAAGCGTGTTGCATGATATTTCGGTGAGTGTGAATCAGCTATTTGCAGATTCACTCAACAGTGTGACATCTGCTTACTTTTTCCATCAGAAGTAATGCTCGATGCCCTGAGTTGCGCCGTTAAATGCAGATATCTGCATTATACACGCTGCCTTGGGATAACGCTTTTTCGCGCCACATATTTTACTAAGATGCTGAATAACGGACGAAAAAGCACCCGGCGTCTGAGTACAAACGACGCATTTTGCTCCTCTGCAAAGACTTACGGTTTGCCATTGCACACTGAATTTAGTACTGACGAAACACATCATGATGCTACATCGGAATCGTTGCGTAAGTATAATCAAGCATAGAAATTAGTAAACTCTTTTCTCAGTTTAGGCATATGACGATGTTACAAAAAACATCTGTCAATGTCTCTTCATTGCTGTATTTCATCCGGTTTTAACCCTCTGAGAGGGACTGATTTTGTTTTATTTCTATTTGTTGTTACTATATGTGAAACATGATAGCATTTTTCTGGCCAAAAAACAGAATTGCTGTCACTGATTTCTGTGGATATACGGGATGATAAAAATGACCTCATTACCTCATCTAGAAGGATTAATTAAAGCCGCAGTCGAGAATCCTTTCGTTCGGGTTTGTAATCAGTGACACTTTCCTAGGCATATTCGCCTGAAAAGCATAAATGTCTGTCAACCCCTAATATATTTCCACGTTAGACTACCATTTCAGGACTCACGGCAGGTTTTCCGAATATATACTAAACTGTATTTAATCCTCACATCTGATCTCTTACCTCCATCGTTAC